GATGCTATTCCAAGCCAGCACCTGGTGCTGAGCACGGCCAAGCAAGTGTGGTTGTTCCTGCAGCACTACTTGCATACAGCCGAGAAGCGCAGTCTCAGCGCGGCTGAGTGCCTCGCCTTCTTGTATCAGCTCAGCTTTAGCACGCTAGGGAAGGTAACTTACATTTACAGCCACAACGATCCCTAAAAATAGCCACAACAGTCCCTATTAACTGCTAAAACTCTCCCTATTATATTCACTATTAATAGCCACATAAGTTCCTGTTGTTAGCTACAACAGTTCATATTAAGACCGCATTCAATTTTTTCTAGCAAATTTGCAAATATTGGCTTTATAAACATGTGAGTTTCTCGAAAACCGTTATGTAAAAATAATATGTTACTTATACATTTAATCAAGTATATCTTCATCTACAAAATGTACAATGTAAATATTAACATTTTAGTTTTAAACCTGTTACAAACAGCAATATCTAAAGCGACAAAACCAAAATTCAGGAAAAGACCTCAAATCAAGCGTGAGTTTTAGAGTTTTGGTTCACTGTAAAAAAATATCAATTATACAAAAAAATAGAGTATATATTTGAGAACAAAGTTTACAGTGAACATTTTACAATTTTATTCAGAAATATAGAATAATACCACGTTTTTATATACGATTTTTTGCAAAATAATGCGCCATTATAACGGCTTCTGTATAAAAAAATAACAGTAGTAAAGATTTAAAAAAAATATATGTTATTCAAGAAGATGTACTTAATCTAATTGCAGAAAAATATATTTATTTTTATTCATAATATCACTGTAAAAAATATTCAAACTTCCCCATGTTTTTCGCAAAATGACGCTCCGAGAGGTCTGGCAGGGAAAATTGTATGGGCTTCGTGAAAACCTCTATAGCGGCCTTAACTGCCACAACAGTGCCTTTTATTAGCCTCAAGAGCCGCAACAGTCCACTATTAATAGTCCATGCACAATCAACCACTGCTCTTCTACCGTTTTGCTCTTTTACCGCCAGCTAGAAGGCGCTCGCTGGGCCTCCCTGGGCATTGGGGCCCCGTCCGACGGGCGACTCGCTGCCGGTACTGCTTAATTTGACTCTTCCGACCGTGGTGGAGTGTTCCTACGCTTACCACAGCCCCCTACCCCATCACGTGCCCGTCTTCACGGGCAGCGAATGAAATTACGCCCAAAAGGCCCTGCCTAAATGGTGTTAGAACAACCGTCTGACAGCCACGAGAGTTCCTATTAAATATTAATCACCACACCCACAACATTCCCGATTTCGTTTTGAAATGACTTATCTTTTTCAGGATTACAGCACAGAAGGGATGAGCAATAACATGTTAGTTTTCCTGCAACATCTACGTGAATTTGGACTGGTATACCAAAGAAAGGTAACTTTCACATTATTTGTTCATCCTAAACTCTTATAGTTTCACATTTCAATTTTTAATCGAATTCTTAGTATTTTTATTTTTGTATTAACCTTGTAACCATTCACATAATAAAACTATGATTTTTTAAATTAATCATTTTAAGAAAACAGCCCGTCATGTTTTTTTGTCAAGTCAGTGGCGTTTGACCAAACGTTTGACAGGATATTATTTAAATTGGTAGAGTAATACGCGTCATTTTTAGACAAGCTGTCACCGCGGCACTTTGACAACCGATGTGGCGCAGTGGTTAGTATGCCTGCCTGCCACGCAAAGGTTCCGGGTTCAATTCCCGGTGGGGTCACTCACAAAGGTATATTTATCACTTTGTGAATTTGTTCCCAGTCTGGTTAGGACATTGCAGGCTGAACCACCTGCTTGTCCGCAAGTAAGATGGTTCCGTGCTTCGGATGGGGACGTTAAGCCGTCGGTCCCGGTCACTGTCTATGATGGTGGTCGTTACAGAACCATGTCAGAGGCCTGCTACTTGCAGTAGGCGGTTGAAAAACTCTGACACCAGGGTTCATCGAACTCGGTGTCCCACACGAAAAGAGAGAAGAGACTGCGGCACTGTCCAAGCGAATGAACTTTAGTGTACTCTTCTCTTTAAAGAATGTGCCTTTTAGACTGATGTTAATGTCCTAATTCCAGCGCAAAGCCGGCCGTTTCTACCCGACCCGGCTCGCCCTCAACATCCTGTGCGTGAAGGACGGCGCCCCGCTCGTCGCGCCGCTCGACAACAACCAACAACCGCAGCCACAGGGATACATAGTTGTGGAGACGAATTATAGAGTGTATGCGTACACACAGACCAATCTACAAGTGGCTTTACTGGGATTATTTACAGAACTGTTTTATAGGTAAGATAAGATTAATTACAAATATATAAACTTATGTAAAGTAAGGTAAGTCGCCATATTACAACCAGCAACCGCAACAACAGGGATACATAGTTGTGGAGACGAATTATAGAGTGTATGCGTACACACAGACCAATCTACAAGTTGCTTTACTGGGATTATTTACTGAACTATTCTATAGGTAAGTCGCCATTTTGAAACTGCGTCCATACGGACTACTGGTGCGATATGTAAGCCGCCATCTTGAATTACAACCAGCAACCGCAACAACAGGGATATATAGTCGTGGAAACGAATTATAGAGTGTATGCCTACACACAGACTAATCTACAAGTGGCTTTACTGGGATTGTTTACTGAACTGTTTTATAGGTAAGTCGCCATTTTAAAACTGCGTACATACGGACTACTGGTGCGATATATAAATCGCCATCTTGAATTACAGCCAAAACCCGCAGCAACAAGGATACATAGTAGTAGAGACCAATTATAGAGTATATGCGTACACACAGACCAATCTGCAAGTGGCTTTACTGGGATTGTTTACGGAACTGTTCTATAGGTAAGTTATGATTAATTACAAATAGATAAAGCTATGTAAAGTAAGGTAATTCGCCTTATTACAACCAGCAACCGCAACAACAAGGATATATAGTAGTTGTGGAAACGAATTATAGAGTGTATGCGTACACAGACTAGCCTACAAGTCGCTTTACTGGGACTATTCACGGAACTGTTTTATAGGTAAGTCGCTATCTTGAATTACAGCCAAAACCCGCAGCAACAAGGATACATAGTTGTGGAGACGAATTATAGAGTGTATGCGTACACAGACTAGCCTACAAGTCGCTTTACTGGGACTATTCACGGAACTGTTTTATAGGTAAGTCGCTATCTTGAATTACAGCCAAAACCCGCAGCAACAAGGATACATAGTTGTGGAGACGAATTATAGTGTATGCGTACACACAGACCAATCTACAAGTCGCTTTACTGGGTTTATTCACGGAACTGTTTTATAGGTAAGTCGCCATTTTAAAACTGTATCCATATACGGACTACTGGTGCGATGGCGACTTACATGCCATCTTGAATTACAGCCAACAAGCGCAATAACAAGGATACATAGTTGTGGAGACCAATTATAGAGTGTATGCGTACACACAGACCAATCTACAAGTGGCTTTACTGGGATTGTTTACTGAACTTTTTATAGGTAAGATAAGAGATAAGATCATTTCTTCAATAACAAATAGGTAAACTTACGTAAAATAAGGTAAGTCGCCATCTTGAATTACAACCAACAACCGCAATAACAAGGATACATAGTTGTGGAAACGAATTATCGGGTTAATGCGTACACACAGACCAATCTACAAGTGGCTTTACTGGGACTATTTACTGAACTGTTTTATAGGTAAGTTATGATTAATTACAAATAGATAAAGCTATGTAAAGTAAGGTAAGTCGCCTTATTACAACCAGCAACCGCAACAACAAGGATATATAGTAGTTGTGGAAACGAATTATAGAGTGTATGCGTACACAGACTAGCCTACAAGTCGCTTTACTGGGACTATTCACGGAGCTGTTTTATAGGTAAGTCGCTATCTTGAATTACAGCCTACAGCCGCAGCCACAGGGATACATAGTTGTGGAGACGAATTATAGAGTATATGCCTACACACAGACCAATCTACAAGTCGCCTTACTGGGATTATTTACAGAACTATTCTATAGGTAAGCCGCCATCTTCCCCACAAGGGATATGAGCGTGATATATGTATGTATTTACAATCCTACTAGAATGCTTCCGCTGCTAGATATCAACCAACAACCTCAGCAACAGGGATATATATTTGTACATACATACATACATACATCACGCCTTTATCCCTTGCGGGGTAGGCAGAGCGTCAACGACCGTAAAAGTACGGTCGTTATCGCCACGTCTGACACATATTTGAGGGCCGTTTTAGCTATTGTCGTGTATCGCTATAGTGACAGGTTGTCAGCCTGTCGCCTAAAATTGCAATACACATGATACCCTCGAGTCCTTTAGTCGCTTCTTACGACACCCACAGGAAAGAAATGGGGTGATGCTATTCTAAGCCGGCATCACACGGCGTTAGCACATATATATTTGTAAAGACGAATTATAGAGTATATGCCTACACACAGACAAACCTATAAGTCGCGCTCTTGGGATTATTTACGGAACTGTAAAGCGAGTTCGACTTTCCACGTAACAAACAAGCGAGAAGCCTTAACACTAAACGACTGTAAAACAGGTAGAAAGGTGCAAGAATCGCGAGCGCTCTCCCCGAAAAGTTACTCTGACCATTCCTTGTTACTAAAATTCTGTAATACTGAATTGTTGCCAATATGTGGTTCTGCCTTGACTTTTTAATTCTCCGCGACTCCCCATTGGGGGTCGCGACCCGCAGTTTGAAAAACACTAGCCTAGACTGTCCCATTGCTGGGCAAAATAATATTTGCATTAAAATAATTGTTCTTTTTTCAGGTTCCCAAACCTAGTAGTGGGTGTTCTAACCCGCGAGTCGGTGCGGCAAGCGCTGCGCGGCGGCATCACGGCCGAACAGATCATACACTATCTAGAGCAGCACTGCCATCCACAGGTATTGTATTTGAGGTTAACACTACTACTAAGCTCATAAATTAAAATAACAAATAGAAAAACCTTCATGCATCGAGCGAGGATCGAACCCGGGCCGCGTGGGTTAACGCCCCACCGCTCTGCCACTGAGCTATCTATGCACCAGTTGATGAATGCCAAATAAATGCTCGTTGCCAAATGACGATTCAGCGTCATCTGTAGAAAGTATTTACAACTTTACTACCAGGTTAGTCGACATCAAAATACTACTGAAAAGTTGACTACTACTAAGCCAATTTTGACAGCGATTAAACCCAGGTTCCCCAACCTAGTAGTGGGTGTGCTAACCCGCGAGTCGGTGCGGCAAGCGCTGCGCGGCGGCATCACGGCCGAACAGATCATACACTATCTAGAGCAGCACTGCCACCCACAGGTATTGTACTTGAGTTTGTAGCTAGACTACTACAAAGCCTATTTTGACAACTGTCAAACCCAGGTTCTAGAACAGCACTGCCATCCACAGGTATTGTATTTTAGTTGGCTTTAGAGTATATATATAAGCAAGCTATAGAGTGCGCATTAGGCCCCGCGGCGTACTGTCAAAGCGTAAGCAGTTGCTCCCTAGATACAGACGTCAAATGTATGCGAAGTCATACTGGTTCAATAGTGTTGTCACTGGCGTTTTGCTTCTGATGGACAGAGACGTTGTATTCTAACTACTGCCAACAGCTCTAACTTTTTAGGCGCACTCTATAGCTTGCTTATTATAAGTTATATATACTCTAAGGAATTGGCAGTCAGACTAGTGCAAAGTCAATTTTGACAGCTATCAAATCCAGGTTCCCCAATAAAGTGGTGGGTGTTTTAACCCGCGAGTCGGTGCGGCAAGCGCTCAGAGGCGGCATCACGGCGGAACAAATTATATATGTCGTAGGCGTATCGTTAGATTAGCCATATCGTGATATGCCTAGGCACATCGTGATACGCCGGCGCATCATGATCTGGCCATAAAAACAGGGCATATCGTTCAAAGCTTAACGTTGACGATTTGGCCAGCGATACTTGGGCATATCGATTGTGTAGAGTGTCTAAGCTTTAGCAAATAAAAATAAAGATTGTAATCGTATTGAAGAAGTTTTTTAAAGTATTCCGATTAACGACAGACTTATGTGGGTACCTATTTGAAAACAATAAAACTCTGTAAACTTTAGTCAATAATTAAAATATGTACCTACCTATTCATCTATACTATAGCGACTACCCGAATTGTGGGATCATCAGCAGTTTTGATTTTGAATATTAAGTAATCTTTTTCAGAAGTTTCCACGGTATCATAAATTATTATTCTCCAATAATAGTTCGAAGAAGCCCGTTGCATGGACATCCTACTTCTTTTCATTTGTTATCTGACCTAAAAACTAAAATAAAACTTTAGCGTACAAACATTAGTTAGTTAAATCTGATAGCTTTAATACATAAATAAATATTTATCCTGGTGATATTTATCTATAAATGTACACTTTGTTTCGTTTTCACTTAAAATTTCGATATTTTCAGCTCAATTTTCACATGCTTGTAAAGCCGCCATCTTTCACTTTCGTAAACAAAGCGAAGCGCGCCAGACAGCGCCACCAACGGCGTGAAATGTAATTATTTCACGATCCGCCCAGTGGTTAGCTAGGAATATCGACAATTACGTTGTTCTCGTTGATCTGCCCACCTTTTAACTAGGCTGATCGTGATGTGCCGGCGTTTCAAGAAGCGCCTGGTCAAATCATGATATGGCCAAACTAACGATCGGCCCACGACATATACAATAACAGCACTGCCATCCACAGGTAGTGTATTTTGAGTTTGCAGCTAGACTACTACAAAGCGTATTAAACAACTGTACCGTGCTATAACCATACTTAACATGAGAGAAGCAACTCATCTACACCTACAGCTACGGTCGCACCTATCTGTCCTTGCTCGTGATTGGCTGCTCCCACCTCCCCGCTCCTCACTCCGACAGGCAGGGCGGGGCGAGTCGGCCCGCTTGGCTTCATTGGCGATTTATCAACGCCGGCGCGCGGTCGCCTCAGAAGATAATTTTTTGAATTTCGCCAAAGTTTTATAAGGTCAACCGGGGGAAATGCGTCGTATTTTTCATTTCTTGAGTTTGATGGCCCACAAATTTTATACTAAGAAGTTTTTTTTCACAATTTTATCAAATATGTATTTCGTAATGAATTAAGTTTAAGATTTATTGATAAGCTTTCTTCAAGACTGACACACAAAAAAGTTATTCAGGCTTTTTTAAAAACATGGATTTTAGCCGCATTTACCCCAGAATGGGTAAATGCGTCTACTATGAATTACTCCCAAACCAGGGAGTATTTTATGATGAAATGAACAGCGGAAGCTATCTTTGAAATTCCATGTTCACATATTCTTTACATGTGAAAATTGAGCAAAAAACCAATCAACTGGAGACATTTTAATCTGCGTGGGGAAAATGCGTTACACTGCTGTATGACGCATTTACCCAACGACAAATCCAGGGGTTCTCAACATTTACTATAGGCGGATTGTAATATTAAGAAATACAAATTGACAAGGTAATAAATGTTATTACAGATATTTATTCATCCAAAAGTGCAGTCCTGTTAGCGCTTATAAAAATATTTATCTAAATGAGACCAGGAGCTAAACCCATACAATCAAATTGAATCAAATTATTCTTAATGAGTAACAAAATAATACTACTTCATACAAAAATTTGACTCCTTAGGCGACCTTTATAATATTTTTAACAAGAAACTGCTTATTCAATGTAGGCAATAAGAAAAATAAAATAAATGAGTAACTTAAAATACTATAAGTCGTTTTTGCCTAAGTATTGGCATAGTATTATACATGAAATAATATGTTAATGCAATTAAAAAAAATAGAGGCTTCAAAATTAAAAATACATTTTCAGCGTAACAAACAAATAAGTTCATGAAAAAAAACATCCATGAAAAAGTTGAGCACCCCTGGCATAGGGGTAAATGCAGCACACAGACGCAATTACCCAAAAAAGTAGACGCATTTTCCCCAAAATTTTTTAGATAACCTTCAATTTTAAACTTTCATATCTCAAAAATACGACCTTTAGCATCAAAATAACTACGTGTTTAGACGAGCAATAATATTTTTCGTACTTGGAGTACAAAATCTAATAAAAAATCAAACAAAAACCATGGATTTTAATGGATTGAACGTACTTACCTCTCGCTCCTCAACTTGCTCACGATCGACTGATTTAGAAAATGGTCGATATCTCAAATGTCCGACATACAGCACCCTCTGTGACTAATTTAAGATGCGAATTTAGTTCAAACTGCTACCTGTAGATGGCTGAAGTTGTTGCAAAATGGATAGTTGTTGAGAAATCGCCCATTGCCGCTTTTACCCCATAGACGCATTTTCCCCGGTTGACCTTAATTCAAAAATTATTAACTTTAATAAATTATTTTAATTTAACTATTTCATTTTTGTGTTATATGGCGTTTTCAAAAAAAATATTTTCTTTTAATTTTTTTTTAATTAATAACGGTTTTACATCGTTCGTTTTTTAAATATTATATTTGTAATGTCTGTCCTTTTTAAATTGTAAATTCAGTGAGTTTGCAAGATGGGTAAGTCCTTTCTATTTTATTGAGCATGCACTTGGAAAATCAAATTTCTGAAGGCGGTTTTCCGTCGAACACTACTTTGCAATTTCATACCACTGTTCATAATTTAGACCAAGCTCAGTCTAAAGTCCGTTTACGAGTAAATATGGTTCAGAAAGGGCGCCGAGCCCGTGATCTAAATAGATAACTATTTCAGGAATTATTTATTAAGAGTAAGATCCCAATTAAATAAGCAAAGTGTGTTAAAGAAATTTGGTTGTTATCGAAGTAATTAGTTTAGTTTAAATTAGTTCTCTTCTTTTGAGGACGATCAAATGAAAATCCAGTAATCATAGTGCCTTTCATAAGCCTTGAGTGACATGATTTAAACATATTCAACACTAAATGTTGATCCGTTGTAGGCTGCTAGTTATCTGTAAGTGATGATACATTTTGCCTCAGGGTAATATATTTTTAGTTATAAGTATTATTTGGTCGAAATATTTGAAGATGTCGTCCGTGTACGCCACGGAGTGAAGTAAGGTCACTGATTGATTTATGGATTTTCATCAACAAATTTATTATTTAATTAAAACTTCTGTCTGTAATCAGACACGTGGTTTTTAAGTTTGTGTTTTGTTTGACACGTCGCAACGTGTTCGACGCTATAAACACGTGGTCCTCACTTTTAAAAAATGTTGACTTATATATTTAATTTCTACCTCCAAAGTTCTTTTTCTTTGAGGTGTTTCTTTAAAATTAAAGAATTTCATTAAAAAGGGTGTCGCTGTGACCCCGAATAATGCAGTGAGAGTTTACGGCACACCTAGTCCGTAGAACGTCTTACAAAAAAAAAAAAAAAGAACAATCAAATCTCTGCAAGGATATTTTGTAAGGTATATATACCTAATTTTATTCTATTGCAATGACAATTGATATTATATGGCTTCGCGAACTAGGCCATGTTCCCTTGTTTTTATATGTTACCTCTGCGCAATGCAAGGTATACCCTATTTTAAAACATCATTAGGAGTACGTTGGCCGCCAGCGCATGGTGAGCCCTTTGACTCCTACATCCCCGCGCAGGGGTTGTGCTTTTTGATGTCATGTAGATTGCTCTCGCCTGCATTTGCAGGAGGGCCTTAATTTTCGTCCTAGTGCCTTTCGTATACGTGACGAACAGATATTTTGTAATGCGAGACAAATATCGCAAAATATAGTGATAAGTATATGGTTGCGTTTCGGTACTACATACTCCTCAAAGGACTGGGTCATCGTGGACCCAAAAGTTTCGAAACGTACCTACATATTATTTTAATACCTCGCGCAGAGAGAGTCGGCCAGCGAATTTCATAAAACTGTGTGGCTTAGGATATAAACTGTACTGTATTAGGTATTACTCTTATACCTATCCCATATCAAACAGCCGAAAGTTCAGTGACATTCGGCGCAGGCACGATATGTCTTACCTACAAAATAAAGGGTTCTCCCTTTTACTAATTTCGAAGTATTCTATAAAAACA